ATCATACTGGATTAATAGTTATTTAATATTGATCCTCATTTAAATTGGTTATATTTGGTAAAATTGTTTCAGTAAATTGAATTTTGACATCTATTTCACTTGATCAGAAAAACGCAATTAAACAAATTAATGTCCATATATTTATTATAAATATTTTAAAGAAAATGTAATTTTTGAATGGCATGAATTGGGTTATTCCAAATTACAAATCCAACTATCCTCTTTTCTACATTGAGAATCACAACCATTTCCATTTTCTTGATTTCCATCGTCACAATTTCTCTTTCTTAAACAATAATTCCATCTCCAAATTAAGTGATACAAACTTTATTTTAGAAATCAGTATAATATCCAGGAAATGATTCACATAGCTCACAATCATTTCTATAACACGAAGTACATAAATTTGATTAATCTTTACAAGTTATACAATTATTTTCACATCTTAAACATTTATCTAAAACTGGATAATATCCTGGCATACAATCATTACATTTTAGATCAAATTTATTTATATTCTAACAATCTTCACAATACATTCCACAAGTTTTACAAATTGAATATTTTTGACCAGAACATAGATACCCTTTTTAGATTTGGCAATTATCACATCCTTATTCATTTGGATTATCACATTCTTCTTCTTATTTATTGACTAATCCATCTCCACAAATTGATATACATATATTAATTTCTAAAGTAAATCCATCATTACATTTTAAACATTATCCATAATAACAAACTGTACAAGTTTACATATCACAATTCTCATATTATATCAATTAACAATTTGAACAACCATCATAATTGTCAAGATTATAGTTATAATTAAATATAAACATATAACACCATCATCATATTATTCTTACCCTTAAATTATTAAATCTCCACAAATGATTTCACATTAATTAAATTCTAAATTGAGATAATATCCATCAATACACAATAAGCATTAAACTTTAACACAAACTTAGCATTATTATTCACATGAATACTTACAATTAAAACAACCATCAAGTGGCATAAGATTTCCATCATCACAATCCTCATCGATAGATTTTAGTCCATCACCACATTTTGATATTACAAATAATTCCTCTAAACCATCTATATATTCATTATCGTTTTAATACTACTCTAACAAATCAATTTCATCTAATATTGGTTTCTAAACAGATATAAACATATTTTTAATTCCACAAAATGTTGAATTAGCTTAATAAAAATTATTGTCACAATCAAATAGTATGTTTAGTTCATGATTATCGTTAGTTGAGTACTCAATTTTTTCTCTTACAGATATAATTTAAGTTTTATAATCATTTTTCCAATTTTAATCTTCTTTTAAATTTAAATTATTGTTAATAGTAGATGTTTTCTTGGATTGTTAATTAATTGTGTAATGAAATTTAATTCTAGACATTTATTCATCACCTAGAATTATTTCAAATTTAACATATACAATTTATTATATATTTTCTAAAGCAAGATGGAAATTAAATTAAGCATTCACCCAAACAAATGGTCCTCCAAATATTCTTTTATTTTAAAAATATGAAAAGTAAATATCGCCTCCTTACTTAAAACTATATTTGTTATTTCTACTATTCATTTTCTTTATTTAGTAGTTGAAAGATCATAAAATTCTTTCAGTACATATGCTTCCTATTAATCTTCATCCTATTCAACTATTTCACTCGGAATAACACAAAATTTATCTTATTATTCAGTGTAATCAGGGCAATTATTAAAGCATAATCCATTGTATAAATAATAACTATTTTGAAAGACTTTTCAAGTATTTTTATTTTTGCATTCTTAACAATTCAATGCACATACTAAATATTATAT